CGGAGCGGCCATGGGGGAGGGCTCCCCCGCAGCCGTTCCGAAGCACTTCGGGTGGCTGTGTGAAAATGGGGGTTTGGTTGTCCCAAAGGCCCCATTTTCACACAGCTGATTGGCGGTTCCAAAATGGCCGCCACAACCATTTTCGCGCGCTGCCCTCGCTTACAGAGGCAGCGAAAATGGCGGCCAGATGAAGGATTCCCGCTTAGCGGTAAGTTTTCCCCCATAGGATTTTAATGCGTTCCTATAGGGTTTTTCCATCCGTATAGCGATGTTTCCGGATAGCGATGATTAATCCGGAAAGGATTGACGTTGCTATGCGGGGCACCACTGTACTTCAAAGACATCTTCCTCAACATGAGGTAAGGCCACACATCCCCACTGCTCCAAATGACTGATATAGTGATCACACAAGCCAGAAATAAAAAGAACACAATGTGAGTGGCGATAGTACAAATACAACAAAATAAAAATCAAGTTCTGATGACCAAACAAAATGTACCAGATAGCCAAAGAAAATATTGGATCTACTGGAAATTAGCTTTATATGTTAATTAGTTATGCACGGTCAGGTCATAAAAGACTTATAGTGATCCTAATAGGGTGTTCAAGGTAAGTGAAATATTTAAGGGGTGGTTTTACCAGTCTCATTTCCCCAGGAAGTTTCCATGGCCAAGTGGGAACTTAAACCCTTGGTCTCCAGAATCCTAGTCAGTCACTCTATCTACTATACCATACTTGGTATGTCATGTAATTGAATGAAAATGCATCAAAATTAACATTGAGAACTCTAGTGGAAACAGCAGGGCAATTTTTAGTGCAGCTGACACCTTAAGCTGTAAGTGAGCACACTATGCAATGTTTCTTCATCAGGATAAATGAATCTATTAGCTTTTTGTTTTCTTGGCCTCCCTTTATCTTTATCTCCCTTATGTCCATCATGTTCTGTTTCTGTATCACTATGCAATTTTCTTTATCTTATGTCCATCATGTTCTGTTTCTGTATCACTATGCAATTTTTAGAAATCTTCCTGAAACATGTAGGTGTGTTACAATTTCCTACAAATTTTTGATTATACACTTTTCCAAGATGAGACAGATTATCTGGACCCATTTCAATTTGGCTTCAGGGCTGGTTATGGGAGTTAGACTGCTTTGGTCATCATAGTGAATGACCTATCCTGAAAACTGGGGAGTGTGAGTGTGATACCGTTGATTCTGCTGGACATCTCAATGGCTTTTGGTACCAACAACCATGATATTGTTCTGGCTGTCACTCTGGGACTGGACTTGGAAGTACTGTTCTAAAGTGGCTCTGGTCGTTCCAGGAGGGAAGAAACCTTGGAGGTGACTCAAGTCTCTGCAGTGGCCAAGAGTAAATTTGTATGGTTAAAACCAGTGCACCAGATGCGCCCATTCCTGGAGATGTCTGTTCTAGTCATAATGACAGATACTTAAGTTACATTTTGTTTGGATTACTGGAGCATACGTTACATAAGGCTGCCTTTGGAAAGTGTTCAGAAACATCAATACAGTGGTGCCTCGCTTTACGATTGCCCTGTTTAATGACAAAATCGCATTACAATGAAGTTTTTGTGATTGCTTTTGCTATCGCAAAACAATGTTTTCTATGGGGGAATTTCGCTTTGCGATGATCAGTTCCCTGCTTCGGGAACCGATTCTTTGCAAAACGATGATTTTCCAAAAGCTGATCGGCGGTTTCAAAATGGCCGCCGGGTAATCAAAATGGCCCCCTGCTATTTTCTGGGACGGATTCCTCATATTACAGGCACCGAAATGGCTGCCCTATGGAGGATCTTTGCTGGACGGTGAGTTTCAAGCCCTTTGGAACACATTAAACGGGTTCTAATGCGTTTCAATGGGTTTTTTCTTTTCACATTACGTTTTCGTTCTACAGCGATTTTGCTGGAACGAGGCACCACTGTAGGTCCAAAGTACCACAGCCAGATTGTTAACTGAACTGGTTATAGAGTTCACATGACTCGGTTACTACAGCTCCACTGGCTGCTGGTCCATTTCTGGGCACAATTCAAAGATTTAATTTTGATCAATAATGCCTTAAATGACTTGAATCCAAGCTATCTGAAAGACAGCATCTCCATTTATGAACTTGCTTGGGTTTTAAAATTATCATAGTGGCCTATCTCTTGGTCCCACCAGTCTCAAAGATGTGTTTCGGTAAGGACCTGAGAGGAGGTCTTCTCAATCAGTATTCCAAAGCTGTGGAACTCACTTCCATAGGAAGCCAGGTTGGTCCCTTTTTCAGTGTACTTCACAAGCATGCGATGACTTTCCTCTCCAGGAAGATTTTTTTTCAGTAACTGGTTGAGGTTCTTAAAAATGGGGCTGTTTTAAATTTTTAAAAAAGTTTTAAATACAGTGGTACCTTGCTAGACGACAATCCTGCTGTACGACGAAACTGCAGGACGATGACTTTTTTCGATTGCTATAGCGATTTGAAAAACAGTCATTCCTATGGGGGAATTCTGCTGGATATTCATTAGGTCCGTGCTTTGCGGACCATTTATTCACACGACGACGATCTTTACAGCTGATTGCCGGGTTCCTAAAATGGCTGCCCTGTGCTTTCCAGACCCATGCTTCACAGGGCAGCCAGACCATTTATTCACATGATGACGATCTTTACAGCTGAGTCGGGTTCCTAAAATGGCTGTCCTGTGCTTTCCGGACCCATGCTTCACAGGGCAGCCATTTTAACAGCTGATTGGCGCTCGGAAAATGGCTTCCCTATGGGCGATCTTCGCTGGACGACGAGGTAATTTCCCCATTGGAACACATTAAATGGGTTTCAATGAATTCCAATGGGGAAAGGCTTTTCGCATGACGATTTCGCTTAACAGCAATTTTCCCGGAACGGATTATTGTTGTCATGTGGGGCACCACCGTAGTGTTTATTCCATATTTTAAACTGCCTTGGGGTCTCTTGAAAAACATGGGGTATAAATATTTTAAATAAATAATAATAAAGAATGAAAAATAGGACTTGAGCCAATGTGAATCAAATGGATTTTCCCCCTACACATGCTATAGAATGCATTCACTCCTTACACAGTACACGCTTAATGGCACAGGATCATTTTTAGGAATGGGGGAAGCATAGTTTAACTTCAGTGTAGTATTAGAATGCTTATAACTTAAGATAAAGAAAATATTTGTATGTAATTATCAGAGTAATAATCTTTATAACTCTGCAAGGTCAACAGAGATTCTGCATTTCTGTAGTAGTACAACAAAATAGGCCTTCTATGCATGGTAGGCTATTGTTGCTAATTAAAATAAAATATCTGGTTACCTTGTCTTTTAAGCTCCTCAATTTGCTCTTCTTTGAGATCCAATTGTTCTGTTAGTCTTGATGCAGAATCTAGTGCTGCGTTTGCTTCTTCTAATCTTTCCTGTAAGATAAGACACATCATTATAACAAAAAGTAACCTTAATGACACAGATACCAATATAGCAAGGCCCAGTTTAAAATCTATTCCGTCTCCATAGTCTGGACTATACACATATGCATGCTACGTAGGCCAAAGTTTTTGCAGACAACTCCTGAGAGTTATCTGCAAAAATTCTGAAAAGCACAATTTGAGACTCTTTCTCCCCACATCTTCTTTCCATTCTTCTATTAAGTGCTGTGGTTGTTTGCCATGCAAATAAGAAAAAGGGCAACATTAAAGAACCACTTTGGCCTACCTGTAATGAAACCACTTTATCTTCTAGCTGTGCTGCTTTTTCCTTCCACTCTGCAATCTGCTTTTGGTGTTTCTGTAGCTCAGCTGAATACATGGCCTTCTCTTCTAAAGATAAAATATGTACACCTAGATTATCTTATTGCTTTTTAAAATAAAACAGGAGCTACATTATGAAAATAAAATATCTGAGGGAATTGCTCATTTGAAACTTTATGCTACAAAAAAGCCAAATTTTTGTATTTTTAAAAATATCTTTACATAGGCAGAAGATATTATTCACAGCAATTTTTCACATTATGGGGGGTTAACCTACCTCGCTGAAACTGCTCTAGCACCATCTGCAGGTTGGCAAGGGACATAGCATACTGTTTCACTTGGTCTTGAGACATCTTTAGTTGAAGCACAGTCTCATCTCTCTCTTTAGTTACAATATCCAGCTGTTCCTGCAAGGATTCCACCTGCATAGTAGCCTGATGGCTTCAAGAAAAAAAAATATATATATAATCAACCACCAAGGTTACTCTAACGAATCTTAACTTTTGAGTTCTACCTGTTTGATGTCTGACCCTTCAAAATTTAAGTTTCAAAAGATATTTTTTTCTGGAATTTCAAAATATAAATCTAAACATCACTGTTATAGATATCAATTCCAGGAACAACAGGCTAGCATTATTATCTTAATTCCAAGGAGAAGGAGAAGATGTAGCTATTAAAAATACATATTGTTCTACTCTGGAAGCAATTTCAGCAATATAAATTGGCATTTACTATTCATGGAAATTAATACTGTATAAGGGGAAAGGGGATATTAATTCTCTCTACAAGTTATTGTTACATACAAAAAATACCATGCAATATTTAGTTGGGATATAGTATATTTTAAATTGTTTCTATTTGTATGTTGTGAGCTGCCCAGAGTAGACCATGTCTAGATGGGTGGCATATAAATGCAATAAAATAAATAAATAAATAAGCAGTTATCCATAAACATGCTTGTGCACTCAAATGGCAATTTCTTTCTTAGAGAATCCAAGCGAAATTCACATTCTTTCCTCCTGCCCCATTAACCAGCCACTAGTCAGAGTAAGGGCACGTCCGGATGGGGGAAGTTGGAGTGGTTTCATTTGTGTGTAAATCTCCCCTTTTCAATTAATGACACTTTCTTTCTTGTCCTCTTCATTGAGCAGGAGCAGGCCATAGTGACCCCCCCTTTTTTTGTTAACTAAAGATGACTAGAAATCTCATCCCAATGGTTCAGTCTGTCTATTAGCTACAGCAGAAGCTGAAATATATCCAAGAAATGGCTAGAGAAAATTTAGAAATTGCACAGCACAAACAGAAAGTTTACTACGATAAAAAAGTAAGGCACCATAATTTCAATATGGTGGAGCAAGTGTTGGCACTGAACACCAAAAAATGTAGGAATGTCCATTTGTGTAGAAGAAGAAATTTAGTGCTGTGAATTAGTTAACTGAAAGATCAGGAAATGGACTTCAGCCAAAAGTTTATAATGCCAGTAGTTTAAAACCATATGTGATCAGAAAGGAAGTGTTTCCTGCATTCATTACATGAATGTAAGGGAAAAGAGTAATGGATGGGTGATGGGAAGTGGTGATCCTACTATGGAATCATTCTGACATGTGAATTGTGATGTGTTTTGCAAAATTAGTTTTAAGCTTTAAATGGTAAATTTAGTTGTAATGTGTTGTGTTCTCTTGAATGGGTTTTCATGTGTGTTAGAACCATGGCAACTTTATATGTATGTCATAGTGAAACAGTAATACATCTACCTAGGATGGTACACATACTATTGCCAATGTATCTCATTTATCCAGAATAATGTTGTATCACTAAGAAAATATACTAAAACAAATTAAAATGGTTGAGTAGGTGAAAATAAAGCAGGAGTGCTCTCCATCATCCCTTTCAATACCACTACCCACCAAATATGTCACAGGGCTGTCATCTCAGATAACACTGGCTACAACTCAAATTGTGGGCGGTGTTATCTGAGGTGACAACCCTAACCATCCGCACTGGCTACAGAATGGGCTAATTAGGAGCACTACAGATCATACTAAGAAATATAGCCTTTCCCTGTGCCGAAAAGGAATGACACATCTCTAAAAAGATGAAAGATGGATCACGCTAAGTCACAACACACATGGACACAGTAAACCAAACAGTACCCAAAAGCAATCCAAATAGTGAGCTACTCTGACAGTGTGGAAGTGCCAAAAGTAGTAGAAAGAAAGCAAATTTTGTTTGCATAGTGGTCACTGGAAAGTGTGCATCTGTGGAAAAGGATATATGTATGTTTATGCAGCTGTGGGAAAGGATGTCTTTACATCTAGGTGTGTGAATGAATGCTTGTTTAAAAATGAGACAGAGAGACTTTGATCCTGCCTGCTGGGTCACGTAGGGAGACAAAATGGTTACCAATTCCTGCTCTAAGTTGTAACTGACTTTACATATAGGGTAAGAATTCCATTAGAAAAATGCATTCCCTCTCATGGAGATGAACCAAACTTGCCTCCAGCTCTCTCAGGACACTTCTTATCTGCTTGCAATTAAACAATGTGTGTGTGTGTGTCGAGGTAGAGTAATGATGGCAGAAAACAGGTCTGGCCAAATGTGGGCTAGAGCCATTTGGAAGACCTGCTTTGTGGCAGCGGTGGTGGTTCTGAACCATTTCTTGTCTGCTACTGCTGCATCTGCACAGAGTCATATGGGGGTCTTTTTTAGTTTTATACTTTTTAAATTAATGAAACAGTGACACAAATTATACTTTAAGACATAACATACAAATATTGTATGACATACAGTATATTAAAGACTGCAGAACATGCTTATACAAGACGTAGCTCATTAACTTAAAAGAATACTAAACAAATTACAATCCACAGGTGTTGCACCAAAAAATAAATTTCTTTCTAAGCAGGTTCATCAGGGCATGCATGCCTTGCTTTAAAGCATAAGTGTGCTCCTGAAAGTTTCCTAGAGGTACGATTCTGCTTTAAAACAATTGCTGTCATTACAGTTTGGAGTGTGCCAGCAAGGTGGCCCCTTTGCTGAGTAAGAGAGAAGTCAAATGCAGCTCCCTGCCCCAAGGAAGTTGCCCACCTATGCTCTATTCTTTCCTTCCTCTCAAGTGTGCAGGGCAGATCAAAGAGGGCCCTGGTATTCCAGTTTAATATGGGCCTCTGTAAGAACATTTATCGAGATGTGGATACAAGTCTTGTCTTTATATCCAACACTCATTTAGTGACTCCTCCCAACCCACTCTATTGACATTATTTTAACTATTAGCTTACTGTGGGAAAGTGGTACAAGTGAAACAAGTGGCATTTTGAAATCACAGAGGCAGAGAGAAAACTGAAAATTAGATAAGGCAGGAATGGGGGGGGGGAATAAATGACATGTATGCTAAGACATTTCAAGTGCACCCCATCAGAAGTCTGAAAAGTCTGAATATGATTAAAGAGCGAAATTTGTCCTACTGATACCCTATCTAGTTAATACTTACATTACTCTTTGAGAGAGACCTGAGTATTTATAGGACTAGCAGTAATTTTTCAGGCTATTTGCTGACCAGGAGGGTGAGGATACTGCCAAGACTATACTATACAAAACAAAGCATTACCTGGCATTTTCCACTGCAGTTGATGAAGACTGCAGCTTCTCCTCCAAAATCTGAACTTTCTTTTTCAGCTTAGATTCCCGCTCCTCAGCTGCTAAAGCCTCACGTGTGGAAGTATCTTCCCTTTCTAAAAGATGATTGCGCAGCCTCTCCAATTCTTGATTGAGACGTTGTTCCTTATCACGTAAATGCTGCACCTGTGTGTAATTGAGGTCACATTTCTTCAAACTTTCTTACTATACCCTCATCAGCCCATACTTTTATTTTGAGTTTTATTCCATACCTCACTCTGCAGGGCACTAGTCTCCATTTGTTTCTGCTTGAGTGCCAGCATGACTTGATCTCTCTCATGCTGAAAAGTGACAGCCTTTTCTTGCATTGCCTTGGCCTCATTCAACAGCTGGTTCAGCTCCCCTGCATTTCCCTTTCAAAAATAAAAAATACTGTAAAGATATTTATGCATCTTTAAATAAAGAAAGTTATGCCTTACTTAAGTGTGCTACATTAAGGTAACACACTGAACTAAGGCATGATTCTTGCCACCTCACATCAAATGTAGAGACAGCATTATATTTTCTGTAGAATACTTCTTTATTTCGGGATTCAGAGGATTTGTACCTCTTCCCCAAACTCCTAAATGATGAACAGTCTTCAGGCTTATCAACCAAAACCCCACAAAAGTGAAGACACAACATTTCATCATGGCATCAGGACCTAACATAACTGTCCAACAATTGCATTAATACCTCCTCTCCTGAAGAAAAGGAAAGATGCTTTCCCATATGGTGCTATACAGTTACATGGCCCTCCCCTGTGTTGATATAATTTCAGTATGCAGTAGTGATGTATGCACACAGGAGTTATGGCATCCTAAGAACAAAGAAACAAGGAGAACAAGCCCAATGCCAAACAACATCCTCTGTCTGCATTTCTCACTGGCCAAATACCTGCTTGTTTTTTCTAACCTTAACAATTCATTGCCCAAGCTGTCTTTTTACACCAGTATTCACTACCTTTTTGTACATGTGTATGCCTTGCTATTTCTAATATTTGCCACTGGGTCTGAAGAAGAGGATTGTAATCCATGAATGATTACACTGAAATAAATCCATCAATATCAGAAATGCCACAATACTTCTTTCTTATTTTGCTCTAAAAGATTAACAAGCTACCCCTCTCAAAATTGCTTCAGAAGAACGTTCAATGCTCTCATTACATCTGCTTGCTTAGATGCAAGCCCTACTGAAGTCCATAGGACAGTTATACATTACTAAAATTTAAAAGAAAAATCAAGTTTGTATTGGTTATTTCACTGTGGATGTCAGTTTTCAAATCTCCACTTAGTTAAGATAGAGATCATTAGCGCCCATATGTACCTTATGAGCATAACCTCTAAGCCTAACATACTGCAGATAAATTTACCAACAGGTAAAGACGAAGTTTGTATTCTCATGTACTTTTTTGCACTTTATCGTAAAAAACAGATAGAAATATACCAGTAATAGATAAACTAAGACCATCAATTCTGTGCACACTTATGTAAGAGTAAGTCCTATAGCATGCTGCAGAACTTATGGCTAAATAAATATGCATCATATTACCCTGCAAATCCTATTCACTCCAGTTCACTTCTTTTCCATTTACAAACTTCACATCTTAAATAATAAAAATATGGAACTGGTCACTATCTCAATCTACAGAGATTCTTCATTTTTTGCCCAACACAGAATCAGTACAATATATCAGATATTTCTACAAGAGACGTAGAAATGTACGTTGGCAATGAAAGTTAAAATTATTCCTAGAATTTGGCATATGCAAAATTAGCTGTTTCCAATAGCAATCATATGTATTGCATGACATAGCAGCAGTCACACCTCCTTCTCCTCTGCCTCTAAATCAAAAATAAAAATGCTACTCATCACACACCTGCTCTCTTTCTTTCAACATTTTTTCAAATGTCAGAGCCTTCTCTTTCATGGAATGAGATTCAAATTCCTTCTCCTTCAGCATCATAGAAAACTGCATGTTCGTCTCTTGAAGTGCTCTGAATTCTGTTTCTTTTTCTTGACACCTTGCAACTATTCTGTCATTTTCTTCTTTCAACTTACAAATGTCCATTTCTAAAATAAGAGTTCTTTCCTTTAGGTTAGTGACACCTTGCTTCAACAACTCATTTTCATTCTCTTTATTGCTAAGATTTTCACCAAAGGAAAGCAATTGATCACTTTTGGACTTTATGAGCAAATCTTTTTCTCTGAGCGATTTCTGCAAGAGATCACATTTCTCCTTCAAGTGCTTTATCTCCAAATGAGACTCCTCCTGACATTTCCTTTCTACTTCTGATGAAGCAGCCACAGAATCAGACAGCCTCTGATTATTCTCCTGCAGAGTATGGATGGTTGCATCTTTTTCCTGCAATCTTCTTGTCATGCGTTCCAGTTCCTCAATTAGTGGTTTGGTTTCATTGGCAAGTGTCTGAGATGTGACATTGCTAGGAATATCTAACGGATGTTCTTCAGTTGAAGAGACCAATGGCAGAGGTTTTACCATATCAAGCTTGCCCAGAATAATATCCCTGGTATTGTTAAGCTCTCCTATGGTATGCTGAACTTGTGCTAATTCTTGGCTAAATGTTTTCAGTTTTTGCTCATTCTGTTCATAGGACTGGATTAAGCCATTATATTCAATCTGCAACTGAGAACTGTTCTCACTGTCAGCTGAAATTTGTGCCTGAAGCTTCTGAAGTTCTTCTTGGAGAGAAGCAGATTCATGCTGCATATTCTGGACTGTGGTCATCACTTGTTTCTTCCACTCTTCCATTTTCTTCACTTGCTGTTTCAGTTTGTCACGCTCCTGCAAAAGTTCTTCAAACTGATTGCTATTAATTCCTCCTAACTCACTGCCTGTACCCATGTTGGAGGTCTGTAGGACAGTCAATAACGTTTGACATTTTTGGCTTAAAGCGTCAATCTCAATATCTTTTTCTCTAATGATACGAGACAAATTTTTGATTGTTTCTCGGGACATATCTTCACTGCTGCTTTTATATTCACCAGCTAGTTTTTGGTTTTCTTCCTGCAGTTTCTTCAGTGCTGCTTCCTTAGCTGCTACAATATCGATCATCTTATGATAATCTGTTTTTAACTGACTGTTCTCCCTAGTCTTCTCACTAAGAACTGCCAGGACTTGCTCTCTTTCCATTGCATAAGCTTGCAATTGCTGCTGAAGAAAAAGAACATCCTGTCGATAAGACGGGGAGGAAACCCTTGCATGAAGAGCTTGTATCTCCAAGTTTTTCTCTTGGATAATCTGTGTAAGTTTGCCAACTTCATCTTTGGTTAATTGATCAATCTGTCTACTTAGTGAGACATTCTTCTCATTCAACAGTTTAATCTCCATTTCTCTCTCCTTGATCCCTTTTACCAGCCTTTCAATTTCAGCTTTAGATAAATCATGTTTCTCATTCCCATTTTCACCGTTCAGTGTCTGGACTTTGGTTTCATGAAAGAGATCTGTATGGTCTGGCTGAATGACTTTTTTCTGACTGTGCAACTGCTCTATTGTTCGTTGTAGGCTTTTGATTTCTTCATCTTTATCCCTGCATACCTGCTCATGTGCAATGTTCATTTGCTGAAGCTGAAATTTAGAGTCCTCTATCTCTTTTTTATACTCTTGCAGGGACTGCTGAAGTTGGGCCATTTGCTGATTTTGATCCTCCAACACCTTTTTATTGAGTTTCTCTTCTTCTTCAAGATTATTTTTAAGTATAGTTAATTGTGTTATTTCCGCTTCCAGTTCAGTGATGATATCTAGGGTTTTTGGCTCAGCCAAAGGGGGTGACCTATTCTGCTGTTCTTTTAGTCGCTCAATTTCTTCTTTCAAATGATTGTTCTCTTCTTTCATGGCTGAAAGGTATTTCTCTTTTTCTTCTAAGTTTTGTTTCAGCAGTTCAAAATTTTTGGAGTCCTTAATATAATTGTCATGTTGTTGCTCCAACTCAGAGGCCCTTGTCTTAAACTTTTCAACAAAAACCTCTTTCTCTTTTATAAGCTCTGCCAGCTGTTTTTGTCCTTCCAAGCTACTCGTTAACATTTCTTTAGTTTCTTCATGGTCAGCTTCCATTTGTTCAATGTTCCTCTTGAGTTCTGCAATCTCAAAGTCTCTCTCTTGATTTAGTTTAACTAAGCGCTCATGATCCAGCTGTAATGCACTGGTATTCATGTTCCGTGCATTTGACAACTCCTCAATGGTTTGCTCATATTTATGAGCCTGGTCCAACAACTGGCTTTCAGCTTGGTTTAGTTCATTTTCTAATCGTCCTTTTTCAATTCTTAAAGCCTCCAGCATGGTATCTTTTTCAAAAACAATCTTATTTTTTTCACTACTTGCTTCTTGCAACTGTTGTTTAAGTTCTTCATATGCTACGTGAAGATTTTCCTTTTCTATCTGAAGATCTAAAATAGATTTCTCCAAGCCTGTACTTCTTAATTTACTTTCTGAAATTTGTTCATTCAGCTTTGCAATTTCTACTTCACTTTCTTTGGCTGAATGACCTTGATAACTATCATATTCTTCTTTTATTTTTGTTAACTCATTTTGGAGTGCAGAAAGTTCCTCTTCCCTTTGTAATATATTTCTTTTAAATTCTACGATTTCCTGTTTATATTTTGAACTACACTGCTGGGATGTTTTTAGCTGTTCTTTTAAATCTTTTATTGTATTTTCCAGTTGTTGCCTAGTCATATGCAAATCATTAAGTGTAAATGTACACAGCTGCAATTTCTGTCCTTGGCTTTCTAGCTCTTTGTTCATTTCCAGCTTCTCAGCTTCTAACTTAGATGTTCTTCTTTTTTCTGAATCTATGTCCAGTTTTAGTTGGTTGATAGTCTTAGCAGCTTCTGCATTCTGTTTAGTGAGGTGTTCTTTTAACACAATCACATGCTAAAATAAAAACAAACAGATGTTAAAATAGTAAAATCAAAACAAAACAACCCACCCCAACCTACCCAGTCATAACAAATACATAGCTAGAATGTAAAAACATTTCATTAATCAGTGAAGTTTTTTCAAAATAAAATTCATGTGATATTGTTGTCTTAAAAGATTAAGACAAAGAAACCTAAACGTCACAGTATAAAACTGATCAAACTAAGGTCCACAACTGTGTACCAGGAATCCATTTTACCATTTTCCTATGGTTAGGACCACTTAACTCCTGGCCTGCAGGGGGATGACAGGCTATACTTTGGTGATTACTGTCTCCCACATTCTAAAGTTTACCAAATCATGATACTGAAGTTTCTCACCTTAGACTATGGCTTATTTTACATTACGATACTAACTTTTATTAGAATAAGCATGTTTCTAATAGAAGTGAAAAAGGGATTCAGATTTTTTTTCTCCAGAAATTCTTGTTAACGTATTGTATTTTTCCATGTACAGTGGACCCTTGACTTACAGACGGCTTGACTTACAGACTTTTTGAGTTACAGACTTCTCTGGCTCCAGAAATTCTTGTTAACATATTGTATTTTTCCATGTATAATACGCCCCCATGTATAAGATACCCCCACAACCTTTTCTAACCCAGAATTTCTTTCTTCAGAGGAAAGTGGAGGGGGAAAGCAGGAATCATCAAAGCGATTCCTGCTTTCTCCCTCCACTTTCCCCACAAGAAAGCACTTTCTTGCGAGGAAAGTGCTTTCCCCTCCACTTTCTTCGCAAAAAGTGGAGGGGGAAAGCAGGAATCAAAGCACGTTGATGATTCCTGCTCCCCCCCCCCATTTTCTTGTGAAGAAAGTGGAGGGGGAAAGCAGGGGTCAAAGCGCTTTGATCCCTCCCCCTCCTTACTTCTGTGTATAAGATGACCCTAAATTTTTAATCTAAATATTTTAGAGAAAAGTATTGTCTTATACACAGAAAAATACGGTAATCAGAAACCCTAAGTTTAAAGCTTGTTAAAAACGAACACTGAAACATTGCAAATGTCGGTTTTGGCTCTGTGTCCTCAAAGGAGCAAGTTCTTTTAAGGGAAGATGACAGAAGAGCCAAGACTCTGTGACAGTGCAAGCACTATACATAGAAAAGGTAACAGGTCATCTTAACACTATAAAATATATCCCTAAACACCATGCAATGAAAACATTATTTTTTAGAGCACAACCCTCCCCTTCCAAAGACCATAGACCTTAAGCTTGGAAAAGTCACTGAATGATCACTCCCAGAATCTTCCATCCAGTATGCCTGCTTAGAACACACAATTCTACCTCATTTAATTAATTAAATATATAACCTGTGTAGCTTCTTGGTTTTGTTTGTCCAGTTCTTCTATTTCTGCTGTAAGAATTTCTTTTTCAGCAAGGCTTTCAGCAAGTTCCTGTTGTTTCTTTTCCAAGGCCTGTCTCATCTGATTTAGCTCCACATTCTGTCCTTCAGGGAATACATGCATAGTCTCGCCCTTTGACTGTAAAGTTGCTGCTTCCTTCTGAAATCCTTCCTTAATGTAGACAAAAAAAAGACACTAAATTTAAATTTGAATGTGTTCCTAAGTATTGAATTAATATTTAAAAAATGAGTTTGCAAGTTACTTGTGAGGGATTTTTTTTCCAAAAGCAAGCCTGTGAGATCATATGCCAGAATTTGTATTCAAGATTCTGACAGACTCTTTGTCATTGTTTTTTTTTTTTTTTGTTAAAAACTAGCAGAGGCATTTCTGTACAAACTAAATACTTTGTTTTTAATGGCCTTTATACTGCGTTATTATACTCTCTCGATTAGCACATCCTGGGAGATTGTGCACTTCTACATATTGAAAGTGATGGGAGAATCTATGGTAAGCTCCTACCGTTCATAGCACTTTGGGTTCACAGGTGTCTCTTTTGCCATGGTATTAAGGCAGGAAGAGTTTAACAGGATGTGTACCTCCTCTTTGTTGAAATGCAGAGGTTATTGACAGAGACATGATTTTCCTACAAGAGGAGAAGAACGTCTTTGCAGTGGGTTTTCCCACCCACTCACCTTGATAGACAGGAGTTCATAATCAATCATAATCAATCTTTTTTTGAACTCCTGACTCTCTCTGGTGATGAAGACAACCTGGGAATTCTAAGTTCCTGCCTCCACTTTGACAGCAGCTTGTTCCTCATCTCCTTCACTTACTTCTGTCTGTGCTTTCTTTTAAGTCTAGGAACATGGAAAAGAAGGTCTCTAAGTAAACTTTAGACAGATTCATTGAAGCCTGTTGGGCTGCTTGCTACAAGGCTTTGGGTAAATCAGTTCCTAGAGGTATCTATATGAACTGTGATGACCCCGCAGCATTTGGCACAAAGACTGCTGTTGGGTATATGTAGGGCTGCTACCTGAAATATACAATCTTCCTTTGTGTGGCTTTATAGCATGGATTTCTCTGCCTCTACAAAGGCACTTTTCGGATGCAAGGTCTTCCAACAGGTTGTCTCCTAGTAGGGGAGAGGCCTTGCCAAGGGCTGCACCTAGCCTTAGAGCTTTGGTAAGTCCCATTACAAGACTAGCAGAGGCATTTCTGTACAAACTAAATACTTTGTTTTTAATGGCCTTTATACTGCGTTATTATACTCTCTCGATTAGCACATCCTGGGAGATTGTGCACTTCTACATATTGAAAGTGATGGGAGAATCTATGGTAAGCTCCTACCGTTCATAGCACTTTGGGTTCACAGGTGTCTCTTTTGCCATGGTATTAAGGCAGGAAGAGTTTAACAGGATGTGTACCTCCTCTTTGTTGAAATGCAGAGGTTATTGACAGAGACATGATTTTCCTACAAGAGGAGAAGAACATCTTTGCAGTGGGTTTTCCCACCCACTCACCTTGATAGGCAGGAGTTCATAATCAATCATAATCAATCTTTTTTTGAACTCCTGACTCTCTCTGGTGATGAAGACAACCTGGGAATTCTAAGTTCCTGCCTCCACTTTGACAGCAGCTTGTTCCTCATCTCCTTCACTTACTTCTGTCTGTGCTTTCTTTTAAGTCTAGGAACATGGAAAAGAAGGTCTCTAAGTAAACTTTAGACAGATTCATTGAAGCCTGTTGGGCTGCTTGCTACAAGGCTTTGGGTAAATCAGTTCCTAGAGGTATCTATATGAACTGTGATGACCCCGCAGCATTTGGCACAAAGACTGCTGTTGGGTATATGTAGGGCTGCTACCTGAAATATGCAATCTTCCTTTGTGTGGCTTTATAGCATGGATTTCTCTGCCTCTACAAAGGCACTTTTCGGATGCAAGGTCTTCCAACAGGTTGTCTCCTAGTAGGGGAGAGGCCTTGCCAAGGGCTGCAGCTAGCCTTAGAGCTTTGGTAAGTCCCATTACAAGGATGTCTTTCCCTTGTAGAAAAAAGTAACAGTGGTACTTACTATAATATACTCCTTTTATCCCTCCCCACCCAGCTACAGCTGCTAACTGATGCTGTTGGGATAGTTTGGTTATACTGGGGATTAAGGGGGAAGTGAAGGCTATCTGTCCTCCTGGTTCAATATTCTACTATGCCCTGTTCTTTTTTTAAACTTAGTTTATCAAGTTTGAGGTGTGGACATAAGATTCCTGGTTTGTTCTCACCATCAAAGGCAGTTGGGAGCTCAGAAACAAAAACGACTATAAGCCCCTGCCTATCTAGGTGAACAGGAGGCACAACCCATTGCAAGGATGTCCTTTTCTCCCTATATAGAGGAAAACATCTCAAGGTAAGTGTGAACATTACTTTCTCATCCACATTCTGTGGCAAGAGGAAAATCAGAAATGCGACAGGAAAGGTTTCAACAAATTGCACACTTCATTTGCTCACTTTATTTCAGCATGGAGTGTATCCTTGACCTGACTGACTCCTGGTTGCAGGTTACAGAATGTGCCCTCCTCCTAACTGTGCATCTTCAGTTATAAAAATCCCTCGGCGTTCTTCAACATATTTTCTTTCCTTAGAAATATCTGTGGTCATTTCCTGAGAAATAGGCATGTATAGCAAAACCAACAAACAGATTTTTGGTTCTGAAGACACACCATTTCATCAGACTTAGGAAATAAGGAGGAACAGGTATGTTTAATACTTGGGTGTGAGTCCACAGGCGAATACTAGGAATTTCTATAAAGGACTAGGAAAGAATCCTAAGTAAAACCTTGCAGGCAAAGTAGACAAGATGCCACAATGCTGTATGTAACTCAGTATAAGTCAGTTTCATAATAATCCAATAATTTTGACAAAAGGTTTTTAAAAACTAGTTCATGTCATCTGATGCATGATTATTCCCAGTTGCAGGTATATAGAAACACATACTGGAGTGGTAGGTAGTGAGCCTAGAGGGAAATAAAATGGAAAAAAGGTACAGTCTGTGACCTTTCAATAACAACAAAATGCATGCAAAGCAAGCACAATGACATTTAACTATAAAAGTGGCATATAACAACATGCTCAGATTAGCAGTACATTGTAGTAGGCCAGGCAACCATTTCTCTATTAAGAATCACATAAATCAAATATAATTTCTTGATGGAAGTAGAACAGTTTACTTTCATAAATAAAATAATATAGGTCAATATCCAATGTTTGACTTCCAATATCATACAAACAGAATATAATGGAAATTGGAGGAGAGGATTCCCCACCTCTCTGATACTGGCTCTGGAGAACCAGGGAATCTCTGGAGATAATTTTTTGAAATGCAGAAAACTGAAGCATGAAGTGAGAAAAAGAAATTTACTTATACTGATAATGTAAAGCCAGTGTTAAATTTTATTCATACAATGGGTATATCATGTAAGAGTATCTATTGATCAGCTGAGTTAAAAATACCTAAACAAAAAAACACCCTAAAAGGGCAAAAAACAAAATTAACATTCAGAAAATGATGGTTGTTCTAGGCTTTTCAGGTTGTTTGGCCATGTTCTGGAGGCTTTTTTTTTCTTCCTACCGTTTCACCAGTGTCTGTGGCCAGCATCTTCAGAGGACAGAAGCTAGAACTCTGTCTGTGTTCTGGTGTAGTATGTGGGATAGTTGAGTATTTGTAACTGATCCACAGCTACAAATACTCAGCTGTTCCACACACTACACCAGAACAGAAACAGAGTTCTAGCTCCTGTTCTCTGAAGATGTAGGGGGGGGGAGGGAACCTCCAGAAAATGGCCAAACAGACTGAAAAACCTACAACGACCATCGATCTAAGGTGAAAAGGACAAAAAGCTGATCCACAGCTACAAATACTCAGCTGTTCCACACACTACACCAGAACAGAAACAGAGTTCTAGCTCCTGTTCTCTGAAGATGCTGACCACAGAGACTGGCAAAACTTAGGGGGGAAAAAAAACCTCCAGAAAATGGCCAAACAGACTGAAAAACCTACAACGACCATCGACTCACGGCCATGAAAGCATTTGAGAATACATTTAGAAAATGTTTCTTCTTTTTGAGAGAGAGCGCATTTCTAAGATAGGTGTATGACACTAAAGGATTTTGATCTGTCACAGACAATGGCTAAAATTCTGTTGCTCAGTGGAAGTTGAATCATAATTTTGGGCCCATTCCTGGTAAACAAAGCAGTTCACAGCAATTCTTATTAGGAGGAATGGACTCAATATTATGATCTAACTTATGCTAAGCAACATAAGTTGGCTCTATGTATCCGTTTTCTAAGGCATCAAAAGACAATTATGTCTTGGTGAGCCCATGGCCAGAATCTAGTGATGAACTTAAGTTGGATCCCACAGCTTCCACCATAATTAACAACTCCCCTCCCCTTCAGTGGTCTTATTTCATCCTAAAAACTGGTTAGGGCACACTATGAAACCTCCTGGAGCAGGTTTTGGCAGCATGCAGGACTGCAACAGCTGGAAAGAGAAGGAAAGTCCCTTTTTCGCTGGCCCCAAATATTAAAGCACATAGCTGGGTCTTGGGCAGCATCTGGCAATAGAGGGCCATGCATTCCCTTTGATATCCTATTCATAATAGTTACCAAAATCATAAACCAGCATAATGTCCTCCATGGGTGTTTGTATGGGTGGATGGCAAACCAGACAGTAAACAACAATTTCTTTCCCTTTAGCAATCTGTTTACCTGATCTAATCTTTTCAGTCTTGTAATTTCATTCTCTGCATCTGTAAAGAAAATGGATAACTGAGCTACTTTTAAAAGAAGAAAATAAGTCAGAGACAGTTGATAAGAAAAGAACTTAAGTTACAAGCTAAAATACATTAAAAACAGCAGTGAATACTGCATACTAAAAGTAATGTGTTAATATTCCATCACTTTGAACACAATCTTATCCCTTTGAAAATAACACAAAACTAAGCTACAATGGGACATCCAAGAGAACTTAGCTTTTTTTCAGTGACAGAAAAGCAAATACAGGACAGCAGCATAATTTTGAGAAATCCTTCAGAAAAAAAGCCCTATGCTTTTAAAATGTTCTTACAGGCACTCATTTTCATACAATTAGGCTAGGAACCAAACAGGATAGATTCCTAAGAGATACTTCAAGTTTCTTCATCAGATTACAGCCCCCCCCCCCACCATCCTGAGTAGAAACTACTGGAACAGAAAACTGTCAAATGCCCCCTCTACTTTGTCCATGTGCATGCCTTTTTGAGCCCCAATTTCACATTTTTCCTAAAATGGTCTTCATATATTAAGACTAGGCAAAGGGTAGCACCAAATTTCTTGTGCCATCATACCAAGTAGCGATTGCTGTAGTCGGAGCACTTCTGTCTGAAGTGACTCAACTGAATTCTTAGCAATCATCTGCTGTAAATTCAGATCAGCCTGTTCTTCAAGAATAGATGTTTGAAGTGTACTGAATTCAGTTTTTAGTCTTTCACATTCCTGTTCTAGTTGAGTCTTCCCCTTCTTCATCAATTCAAGTTCTTTCATGAGACAATGTTTTTCTTCAGCTGCTGAGGATAACTCTTGACTTAAACTTTTCACTTCATCCTGCAAGTTCTTCAAAAGAGATGCCGCAGAGTCAGATCCACTTTTCTGTAGGTCGTGTTCATTAGAACTGTCAACAATCCCACCAGCTATAAAACAAGAGGGGAAAACTTTTATGGCATTTTCTTCAAGGTTGTCATAAAACAAAGTACCAGGGACATTTAACAATGATTTTTGGATCATCAGGTATTTACTGTACGTATAACTATTTTACTAGACCCATGCATGTCACACCCACTAAGATCTGCAGGCAGATTCTGATTTACAGGAACTGTATTGTCATACACAGTAAAAGCAACAGAAATTTCTATTACATTTTTTTTCATTGTATACCCAGAACTCTATGGTTTACAGGTCCTGCAAAAGTCCACTGTTCACAGTTATAAGGGAAACGTAAGCATCTAAGAGAAATACAAACATAGGGAGGCAAGCAACAAATACATTAAAGTTAAACACATATTATGCCACACACACGCACACACACTGCCTGGATGAGCAATTAGAATAATTTTTGAGTGTTCTTATAATATGCTTAATGGAAAAGAAATGAATTTTATTTCATTATGTTCTCACTTTTAATAACCATGGTATTATAGAAATGTATTTTCTGTTGTTCTAATTGTACCTTTTTAGGCTATATGCTCTTTCGTTTTTTAGAATGTAATTAAAATATTATTTTTGGTGTTTTACTGTACATGTTCATGTATTTTGAAGTGAATTGTGACTTAAGTATTTGCTTGCCACTTCAGTTTAGTTTTCATATTTGTTAAGCATTTATACCTGCAGCTTTTTCATTGCTGTTTTCAATACATTCTGACTTATTACTTATTTTACTATTTTTGTGCTAAGGGAACATAGAAGCAATGTAGAGGAATAAAGCCTGTAAAAATAGACAAGGTGATGTTGCCTGAAGGTCAGTACAACAATGAAAAGATTTATATCTTGGTACCAGGATGAATGTTGATATGATTGGAAATGATTGTCAAATTTCATTCTAGATTTAACACTTTTTGGGGATAAATGCCAGCTATAATGAAAACAAGCTTCTGATTTTTCTGTCACAGAGGTCTATAAAGTTCTGTAGGACTCTTGAGGGCTATTCAAGTGTCAGACTCTCTTATCTGACACTAGAAACAACCTTTTCCCAGTCAGAGTCCCAAGCATTACTTTGGGAGGTCTGCTGTAAGCTTTTTACATGCCCTCCCAACATATTAATAAATAATCCTCCATTCCATTCAGATCCTGAGACATTGTTTTTCCTATGTGGCAGCCCTGCACCCAGCCCTGATTTGTTTCACATAAACAAATGAAGAAGAAAAATCTCTTATCACTGCAACACTCCTCTGATTCAAGCCTTTTTCCACCTATGGAAGATGAAGACAGGAATCTGTGAAGTGTGCCAAGATTATGAACTGCTGGATTGCTCAATGGTTTAGGCATCTGACTCAGAGCCAGAGGTTGGGAGCTAGATTCCCCAATGTACCTCCTTGACAGGGATATACTCCATGATTCATAAGGTTCCTTCCAGCTTTGAAGTTCTATTATTTATTTATTTAATATCCCATTCATCTAGACCAAAGTCTACTCTGGGTGGCTAACACCACTCAAGAATAATAAAATAAAATAAAACAACATTAATACAATTGAAGATAGCAAATAATTTAGGTACTGACAGGAGGGAAGGCCTGCCTAAAGAGCCATGATGATGATGATTCTCTTTCTCATAGATCTCTCCTTTCCTAAAAGCATGATCAAAAAGCCCAGAGGAGAATGAAGCTGTTGTTCTTTGCCACATAGGTGGCAACTAAGCATTCATACACAGCCAGAGGGTTTTAAGCTTCAGATCTCATTCCTCATCAGTATGCTAGCCCTACCCAAACTGAACTGATGTAGTACAGATGAGAGTATTTTGGGTCTCAGTATGATAGAAGTTGATTTTCCTTCTCATTACAGTCTATCATGTGCTCCCCTCCCCATTAATCTTAGTTTCAAATATTACCTGCTAAGGTCATACTGAGTTTTTTAAATGGAAGAATAACCCATCTGTACAAGGTTTTAGTCCCAATGAGTCATAAAACGAACTGTGTAGCTATGAGCCAGTAATACTGTCTTGGCCTGACTGATCTCACAGGGTTGTAGAAGGATACAGTGGGAAGAAAGCTTTTAATTTATATGATGAATCTTACTCACATGTGATTAATTATTTAGACAGAATGTAGGGCTGTATGAGGTTTTCTGGTGAAGTTGTAAGACAAGAGCTGCAACTATCAAGTAACATGCTGGGGCTCATTTACCAATTCTTCTGGAATCATTTGTTCACAACAGCCTCCAGATATTTTGACTTATACACCCCATAACCCACACCCAGTAGTTTACAATGATGGCAGCGGTAATCAAACACACCTTAGCATCTAACATTTAAACAGTTAAATTTGTCTTACATGGTTTAAAACATACTAACATTTCTTATTATTTAAATTATTTTAAAATGCTGTTCTTTTGCCCCATGTTACCACAAAATCTTACCCCCATGTGATTATTTAGACAGAATGTAGGGCTGTATGAGGTTTTCTGGTGAAGTTGTAAGACAGGAGCTGCAACTATCAAGTAACATGCTGGGGCTCATTTACCAATTCCTCTGGAATCATTTGTTCACAACAGCCTCCAGATATTTTGACTTATACACCCCATAACCCACACCCACTAGTTTACAATGATGGCAGCGGTAATCAAGCACACCTTAGCATCTAACATTTAAACAGTTAAAATTGTCTTACATGGTTTAAAACATACAAACATTTCTTAATATTTAAATTATTTTAAAATGCTCTTCTTTTGCCCCATGTTATCACATGTTAATAGGGCAGGATGTAAATACTAAAGAGAAAGAGCAAAGGAAGAAAGCTTGGCTTATAACATAAGATTAACACCAGATATGTTGGAAGGAAAACAGCAAAAACATCTTAGAACTCAGCTGAGAAGAGGTTTAAATTCACATCCAGCCAAGATATTCTTGCTCAATCGCTGTATCTAAGTGTCTGTCACATACTGTTACGAGAATAAAAAAAGAATAACCACCTAATTTTCAGTACAATATGCTTCCCTGAGTATCCTGGAAGATGGCCACAAATGAAATAAACAATATCGAAAAGGTGGATTATTGGTTGATGCCGACAGATGGATCTTAAACCATAGAGACACATTTAGGAAAAGTATAGGAATCTTTAGAGGTGTTACCAACACACAAATACCATGTTACATCACGTCCCTGTGGACAGCTGAAGCTAGAATTCCTAAGATGTACTACAAACATTTTTTTCAAGCCCAGCAGGTGGGACATATGTGGGTGAGTTCTAACAAAAGTTGTATCGTGTCTATATTTTTACCTGAATTATTTATGAGTTTTAACACAGGTATTTAGTAAATTATAACAATAAAAGTACTTTAGATTGACCATCAGCTATATTGGCTGAGAGTGGTAGTCATAATAAAACAACACATTATTTTAAAAATACCCGAAAGCCTACCAAATAGCTCTTTTTGAGCCAAATTATTTATAAAATGCAGCTAAAAAAAGAAAAGCAACAGCGTAATTTTTGAGAAAAAAATGAAGATTGAGTTCTTATGAAATGGTATTCTTTATGTGTTTATTTATAGAATAGTAAGTAAATAAGGTAAAATGATAAAAGAAATAAGTGATAGGGAATGGATGTGGTAGAAGGCTTTGTTTTCCTTTGTTTTTGGTAAACTGTATTCTGTGGTGAAGAATGGTCTAGAATTTAAGTGAAAAGTACCACAAGCACTACAAACATGAAAAAGATGCATAAAATTCTGGGTATGCTCAACAGCTATGATTGGTAGTAACAGCTTGTCAAAAATGTCTTGACACTACTAAATAAGAAGCAAGACCTTTCTGCACTTGCTCCTCAAGTTCTTCTATTCGTGTCTCGTATTCATCCAGTTCTTCTCTATGACGTCGACTTATGTCTGCTAATTTTTGACGATGTGCATCCTGTAATACTGAAAGCTCATGCTGGTGTTCATCTATTTCTTGACTCAAGTTCTGTTTCAGCTCCTAAAATGTACATGCAATTTATAATTTAATAGTTTTGGAAAATAAAATTTTAGTGTTATCAATGCATAACATTTTATGGAAAACACCTGAAGACAACACTGTATTATCCACAAATTGAAAGATTCTTGGTTTGAGACTGGGTTCTTTTGCTTAACCGAGCAGATAATGAACTGAGATCCTGAACTGTACAAACTTAAGAAGGTACAATGGCTTAGTTAATTTATGCTAAGAAACAGAGCATCCTTATAGTATAAAACACAACTATATTCACATCATCTTGAGGTCCTGCGTGACGGATGCCCCACATCACACCTATCACTTAAGAGAGCATCCTTATAGAATAAAACACAACAGTATGCGCATCATCTTGAGGGCCTGTGTGACGGATGCCCCACATCACACCTATCACTCATAGTGGGAGTTCATTTGCATAAGCCTATGAGAAGCTACCAACATGAATTTGACCCAACTCCGGAAGGCAGTGGAAGATAGGAGGGCCTGGCGTGCTCTGGTCCGTGGGGTCACGAAGAGTCGGACACGAGTAAACGACTAAACAACAACAAAATGAGAGGACAGGAGGGGTGGAGGCAGAGAGTCAGCTGAGGCAGTTAGAGAGTGAGTGAGAGAGAAGGAGAGAGGTTTGCAGAGAGACTAAGTGAGAGCGAAGGAGAGAGGTTTGCAGAGAGAGAAAGAATGAGAACTGTAACTAATATAGATAAACTGGTTAAAGTGAATAAATAAAACAGGAGGTGATAGAATGTGTGGCAGAATATATGGTATTTCAATGATTTTGATTTTATGAACTGAATAAAGACCATCTGTGATTCTGAATTACCCTAATACCCTTTAATAAACAAGTTCTGTTGTTGGCAGCCAGTGTCAGACTGAAGTCCTTTACTGTGTGGATAAAGAAATCCACTGGTGGCAGCGAAAGAAAGAGGGAACATCACGCAGCATGAACCATTTGGGTTGAGAAAAAGAAACCGGGGCACGGGGTGAACGTCACAGCCTAGTTCAATGGCTTATACAGTTTACATATTTTAAGAAGTATATATTTTAAAATTTGCAAGAAGTGACTGCATGCTGCTGAAAAAAAACCACACAAAATACTTCCATGCTCACTGTCATAATTCCCCTTGAGGGGGAAAATGTCTATCAGCATTTATAGCCATATTCACATATTCATCCAACTCCTTTACCAAAGCTAAAGTATGAACACACATGAATATCTACAGACTGGAAGAGTAAAGGGAAATTATAGCAGTTGCAAAGGGGAGCTAATTTTGTAAATTTATGAAAATGAATTTCCATACCTTTATAATATTTTGAAGCTTGCAGATTTCATTCTGATCTGTGTAATTTGCTCCTTCTAATCTGGAAAACTAAATAAAATGAGGAAGGAGGCAACAATAGGTCAACAGTCTGTCAAAATGTCTTTAAAATATGTATGCAGCAACAAAGAGGAACATATAGTTATAAGGTTTCAGAATTAGATAATACTTAATAAAACCAAAAGAGGCCACAAGGACAAAGAGTAGACTGACTATAAGAACACTGTGGGCCAGTTTTGCTAGGATTATCTATAATGTGCAAATCAAAGCTTTCAAAGTGAACCTTGAGCCAGCTACCTGAGACTGAACTCCTGGGTCATGAACACAATTTTGACTCCAATACAGCAGTTTAACCACTGTGCCACAATGAAATCCAGAGATAAAGTTTAGAATGTTAACCTAACCTGTCCTGCTATGCTGTTTTTAACAGCACATGTTCTTACTTTTAATGGTTCCAATGCATTTAGTTGATTTTAACAGTTTTTACAGTGGGGTAGTTTCATTTGATTTTACAATTAAATCTGGTTGTATTTATTATTTTATGAAGACTATAAGCCACCTTAGGCTCTTCTTTCTAGTAGAAGGTAAGGAAAATACGTCCTGACAACTCCCCTATCTGTAGTATATACAGACTGCAACACTGGTTATTATAAGCTTCCGCCCTGTTTACTGGAAAAAAGTACGTCATTGAAGCAATGCAATGGTTACACAGAAAGGCAATCTACCTGTGCAATTTGCTTCCAATGGTCAACTTCAGACTCAAGCCGAGAAACTTCATTGGACAGTCTGTTTATTTCTTGCTGGGACCAGATGACATCTCCAAAATCCATGTCATCACTCTGAAAACCAGCAGGACTATTTCTAACCATAGGGACAAAAGAAGCTGATGTCCTAGTTGATGAAGAGACAGCAGGTCCTAACTGTGATGACTTAGCAGCTGACTGAACCTTCTGTAGTTGCTCTTGTAGTGTATTCTGCCTAGCTTTAAGATGACTGATTTCCACCTAAATAAATGGAAATAAAGCATAATGACATTTACAGTTTATTAAAGACAAACAGATAATCTCAAGAAATTATTGCATTACCAACTACAAAATGTACTTCCACTGAGCAAGGAGAGTTTTCAGGACTGTGTTACAAAGTGGATTTGATTTACCATATTTTCTCGTGTACAAGACACCCCCATGTATAAGGCACCCCACAATTTTGACCCTTTTGAGCCTGAGTGCCCAATCCAGTGGGCACTCTCAGGGCCGGCACATCCTCCAGAGGACTGGCCAAGGGATGCCTTCTCCCCCCTCCCAAAATATAGCAGAGCCTTCATCCGGGCTTCCTCTGCTGTTCTGCTGCTCCTCTGCTGCTCATCCGTCCTGCTCACTCACTTTCCTGTGGTGCCAGAGTCACCGTCAATGGGCAGCCGTGATGCGTGCTGAGCGGCAGCCAAGTGCAGCTTCTCCTTCACCTCCTGCTGCCGCCACCACCCAATCGCCTCCTCCAGCACCACTCACGGCTCCCTTTGGGGAGGGGACAAGGCGGTGGTGTGAGCTTGGGCTGAGTCCCGGCAGTGGCACAGGAGGAGGCGACTGGGCAGCAATGGTGGCAGCAGCAGGAGGCAGAGGCGGAGGAGGAGCCATGCTCAGCCACCCCTCGAGACTCCCCATTAACTGCGGCTGCCCGATCGCAGGGCAGCGGACAAGGTGTGGCGTGAGCTTGATCTGAGCCCCAGCAGCAAGCAATGTTGTGCCCTGCACTGGGCTAGCATGGGCAGCAACATCGACGTGGCTCATGTGCCAATAGAGAGAGCTCTGCGTGCCAGCAGTTTGCCTTGCTTCCATGTATAAGATGACCCTCAATTTTTGCTCTAACTATTTTAGGAAAAAGTATCATCTTATACACAGAAAAAAATATCAATTTGAATTTCAAAAATTGGACTTTTTATGATTTACATTTAAACAATCATTTAAAAATAAATTGGGATGTAAATTATGTTTTAAATCAATATGGTTTTAACAATTCATTGATTTTTATCCACCATGTTACAAAGCAGGAAAAAAGCTGTACACTTTGGGACAGGTAGTATGCAAATAAGTGCATAAAAATGATGTTGTGATGAGAAGCTCTGGAAACTCAAGCCTATAATTTAGATTTGCTGTCTCACATCGAGGGTGGGAAACTTTTAGAAAACAAGATGGGGCAGATTATTTGGACCTCTCTGCAAGTCTAATTATGTCAGGGGCAAGGCTACTGATTTCAATGGGTCTCTGGCTGAAGCACCAGGTGATATTTTCCAATTTCTGCCTCAAGTAAGGAACCGGGATTTGATTCGCATAGCTTTTCCGGAACTAGGAAACAGCCATCACAGGGACAGCATGCTCCTGACCAATCACTCCTCCAATTCTTCCCCTTCATTTCTCAGCATGGGAAAGGAGGTGGAGAAGTTAAGTAGCCTCAGCCAGAGCTTCATGGAGCTGGTTGAATCCTAACTATAAGGCTCAGCTGTTATCTCAGACTGCTGGTTGAGTATAACCTCTTTCACTTTTCTTATGACTTTCCCATATGGGAAAGGAAAAACAGAGCAAGTAGACAGCAGATCAGTCCCTATTGCCATGAAAGACACAAAATCCTCTTTACAATCCATCAATGCAACACAGAAATACTTGAGCCAATTTAGAGAACTGAATCAAAATACTATTTGGTAAGAAAATTGTGAGGACACCTGATCCCTCATAAATCAAGTAATCTTTGATATTAATCTTAATAAAATAGTGGGCAATCTTATGAAATAGCGTGAAATAGCCATAATCCTTCACCAATGACAATTCCCAGCATGGCTAATCATATAGATTAATGAGATCTGGCCACAGGTTGCCTATCCCTCTAGTAGCAGGCAACACTCTCACCCAGACATACATACCCAAAACACTCACTGAAAAAACTGTACACTACTGTAATGGCACAAACATTAGTGTCTTTTAGTGGGGTGCCCAGTCCGTGACTGATTTCACAACCAATGTGAAACCAGGCACGTTACAGACTTCATGCCAAAAAAAAACCCAGAAACTATTTCTGTGATTAATGTTCTGCATGCAGATCTTCCAACAGGATTCTGCTCACTGTCTTAATTTACAACGTAAGTTCATCTTAAAGATAACAAATTATAAATCCTGTTGAGTACAATGTAAAAAGACAATATGTAGCTACCAGGGTGAGATACCTGGTATTTGAAGACTTCTCTTTTCTTTCCTGTGGCTTGTTCAGCCTGTGAATAATCAGTTTCATTGTATGGAAGCCATGAAATGGACAGAAAAAGTCTTCCATTATGAAAAACCATTGCTACTGGATAGTATTACTAGTACAAAGAGATTTTCCATAATGAAATACTACCTCCTTTCATCTCACAGCTACCATAGAATAAAACAAATTATTTGTAAGTTGGACAAACCACAAGAGAGAAAGGGGAATTATTTAATTATTGAAAAATCTTCCCCTGCTGCTAGTGTGATCACTTTTCTACAGAGATACTTGTGCCAACAGGATTTCTGCCAGCATTTATTTAATTGTACTTGTTCTTGTGTTGTGATGTGCTATCAAATTGGAACTGACTTATAACAATTCTAATAGGGTTTTCAAGATACATGAGGTACTTAAGGAGCAGTGTTACCAGTTCCAACCGCAGTGAGTTTCCATGGCAGAGCTGGGGAACTGAGCCCAGGTCTCCTGAAGTCCGTTACTCTATCCACTACATCACACTGGGCATTCATATATTTAATAGGTAATCTAATTAGATAACACCTCTATCCAACCTTTCCTCCAGTGGGCTTAAAGAGACATATATGGCTCTCCTCTTTCCCACTTTATTCCTGACAACAATCATGTGAGGTTGGTCAGCCTGCAGAAATTAACTGGCCCAAGGTCATCTAATCAGTTTCATGGGTACTTCAGGACTTGAACTCAGACCTCCTAAGCCCTAGTGCAACATGCTAACCACTACATTGCTTTGACTCTCTTAAAAGATGAATGTGTACACTGATTTTGTTCAACATTATTGAAGCCACTTTGTACCTCTTTCTGTTGTAGCTGATTGCGGTATTCTATGGATTGTTGCTTTATTTGAAGTTCTGCTGCTTCATGCTTTTCCTCCAGATCATTACAAACCTTCTTCAGCCTCTCATTCTAGGGAGAAAAAGTAAGTAGCAACTTCCAAAAAGAAATTCTATATCCAATATAATATATACTGAAAATATGGAAAGTACTACATATGTTAGGTTGGGGACCACTATGTTAGAGAATACAGAAGTGTACGTTGTCAACCTAACTTCCACTTTTACAGACTAATATCCTACCTCAGATCTCAGTGTTGCAAGAATATTTTCTACATCCCGTAAACCAGTGTTGGATATAGGAAATCCTGCTGCACCATCTATAAAGAGTGGGGAAAGGAATGAAAATGATATAACAACAGTCAAATAGAGTACGACTCAGAATTTGGACTTCGTAACACATTTTGAAGCAGTAGCAACCTAAGAAATTTAAAATAACTTCCTCAGAATGAATTATTACCAATTTAATTAATACTAATTGAACAGTCAAGAAATCAAAAGAGGTCTGAAATGTGGAAGGTCAGCTATAACAAGTAACAAAACAATCCTGAATGTTTTGAACAATCCTGAACCATCCTGAAGTATGTGTTGCTGGAAATAAAGTCCAAGATCATCCATACCTAGATATTCCTGATTATTATGTATGGACTGGAAGATGGGCAATGAATGAGAAAAGAAATCAGTGTTTAAAATCAATTCATTCAAAATACTGTGTTGGAAGAGAGTTTTATAGATGCCATGGACCATCCCAAAAACTCCCTGGAAAACAAAAATGCTGAGAAAACCTGCAGGAAATGAGGAAGATGTAAGATGAGAATGGTTCTTCAGTAAAGGATACCAAAGTCTTTGGTTTACAAAATCTGAATAGGGTTTTTACTTATAGGAACCTTCAGAAGTCACTAATTCATAGGGGTTGGTCATAGTTTGAAGCTGCATACAGTAATAATTTACTAGCTTCATATTACTCTTAAATTTAGTATCACAAAAAACAGAATTAACTTATTTTGCATTTCAAATGAAAACACAGGTACAAAGTTTGCAAAGTTTCCAACTTCTTCAGATGCACCCTAGAAACAAAGATAAAAGTGGTTTTCCTTGAAATGACTTATAAATTTATGCTGGCATACGTATTTATTTATTTATATATTTAATATGTCTAGAGTCCCATGTCCTTGGGAAACACTATGGTTTAGATCTGGGTGGGAAATGTGTGGTCTTTTTGGTGTTGTTCGACTGGAACTCCCAGTATCCCTCACCACAGGTACCGTTGGCTAGGACAGATAGGAGTTTCAGTCCAACAATGTCTGGAGGGCCACATATTGCCTATTCCTGTTTTGGTCTTTAGAAAAAGGAAGCAATAACAGCCTCATCAGCACCATTGCTCTTGGAAACCAATGTCTGCTTTCATGTGTAATGATGCATTGAATTGCTGGCTTACCCTGATTTACTATGAACAAGTAGCAGGCTGGTGCAAGAAGCTAATTGTTCCTACTCTGCCCCTCTTTGCACAAGTGTGCAAAACAAAACAGAAACTAGAATCTTTGTATGAAGCTCAAACCTGGGCTCTCAATTTAGATACCTCATTTAAATTGGTACCATAAGGGAGATTTAGTGAGGGTGCCTTTTAACAGTGCCACCCTTGCCAAGGGTCAGAGATGCAACCTAGTCAAGATAGAATAATTTCAATACCACATCCCCCCCCGGTGGCTGTCTTTTCTCCCTCAGGTACAGCTGATACTGCATCTTATAAACTTCAGTGTCAACTGACAACCTATTTGTTCACCAAGACTTTCAGATGAATTTGCATTTCCAAATTATTTAACTACATGTGGGCTCCCCACTTATTGTTTTATTGGTAGACTGAATGTGCTTTATTGTGTTTCATTAGCTTTGTATCTTGGGATTATTTTTATAAGCATAAATCTAGCTTTATATTTATGCTTATAAAAAGTTTTATATTTATGCTTCACTAGAATTATATTCTTAAAGTTCAATCTTCTACATCAGTAGTTCCCAACCTTTGGCAATTCAGGTGTTCTTGGACTGTGATTTCCAAAAACTCTGGCCAGTACAGCTGGTGGTGAAGGCTTCCGGGAAATGCTGTCCAAGAACACTTGGGTTACCCAAGGTTCTACATCACTGTAGCTGACAGCTGTTTCTGGAAGTGACATGGCAGTCTAAGCTTTGAAAATATGATATTCTGCAAACTCATCACACGTTTTAAATTTTAAACACATACATGGAAAATTCCTTAACATGAACGTGTTCACCGAATTCTGTGTAGCTGTGAATCATTTTTATCCCAACATTTTATCCTGAACACATAATCACTGAAATGTACTTTAACAGTGACTGCAGAAAACCTTAACACATCAGTTGAACTTTGCCTTCTGAGTGTCCAGAATGAAAAACGTTGAAGCAACGTTTCATTACCTAGAAATGATTATGTATGTCAAACAGTTCCCCACGCAATACTTAACTGACAGAATCAATTATCATTGATGTTTTCCTCTCAAAAACTTTATTCTGAACCATGTCTTCAGACACATTAAAAAGGAAACCTCACTCAGAATGATAGTGGAGAAAGTGCTCATCACAACATAGTGCAGTGCAGCTGAGTGAAATAATTTCTTGTTTTTCTGATAAAAAATAATGAGAGAAATTTAGCAAACTAGATGGTAGAGTCCTGGTACCAACTATTACTGCAATTTCTTCCTATATTTAACTGAAGAAAATGCTTAACTGCAAAAAACATAAATAAAACGCAGTAGTTTATATAACACTTTAATTCACTAACATTAACAAAAACCTACATACTTCTTAGTAATTCTAATGAATGCATTTTAATCAGATTTAGGCATTGTTCAGTTAAATAGGGCATAGTCTAACACAAGTTTAAAATCTACATGCATAGCTTTGTACAGGAAAAGATTCAGTGTTACTTTGTTTTAAGATTCACTATTCATAGCAAGAATAATCTAAAGCAGGTATAGGCACCTGTGGTATTCCATATGTTTTTTGTCAACAACAACTACAGCCCTTACAAGTGTACCCAGTAGTACCTTAGAAAGAACCTACATTTGCTATCATAATATTGATACTGCTGTGCTAATTATTAATTTGTTTCTGAGCTACATCCATGGTGCTAGCTTTAACATTTAAAACCCTGGCTGTCTCAAGATTTAAATATATTAAGCATCTCTCCCATGTGTGCAAGGACTTGTTCAGACAGGCAAAAATTCTGAATCAAATGAGCATGATTCACCCCACAGGAGACTAAGGCATACTGGCATGTACATCTGCATGTCAAATCTTTGAAAAATGCTTTTAGAGCAAGAAAAGCAGGTAAGATGCTTACCTGTAACTGTAGCTCTTTGAGTAGTCAACTGTAAATTCACATATATAGGTTTTGTTATTACTCATAAGTCAGCCTCAGAATCTTACAGAGCCTAAGGAGAAGCACTTTCCCCTCAGCAAAAACCATATGTGTAATTCACAGTGGCCATGAAGCACCACCTACAAATCCACTGTAAAGCTGCTATAGCCTTGCCTTCAGAGCACTAACACAGAAATGAAATCTCCATAAAATGCATTTTAGCACTAAGCTCTATCCCGTAACAAAGCCCAGAACAAAAAAACCCACAACTTTTTAAGAACAAATATACACAGAAAAGCAGGTGAAAATAATCACTGACCGTATCAAACCAAATCTTCCACTGTGTGACATGTTAGAATACCAAAGCGCTCATACTGAATCAATTATTGTTATGATACATTTGTTTTATCTGGACAAGCCCTAAAAGTGCCCAAAAGATCTAAGCTACTTACTATGCTCCTCGCAACTGGAGAACTGGGTTACTTGGAAGTCATATTTTTAATTGTTTTATGTACATCACACCTCTCCTCCGCAGAGCTGGAAGGCAGCATCCATAACTCTCTGATTCCCTCTCACAACAACCCAGGAATTATCAGAGTGGGAGAGAGCCTGACTGGAACCTGGTCAAGCATCCCGTCCCCATGCCTCAGTTGGGGACCAGAACCCAGATCTATCCAAGTCCCAGTGACAGTCCAACAGCTTAAGAATATAAACAAGTAAAAGCTGCTAGGTACTAAATAATTTCCTTCCCTCCTACTGGATCTCTTGATCTCCTTTGGACTGTTTCCATCACAAAGGAAAGCTGAGCTCTTCCTCCAGAACCCTTCTCATACCGGGACCCTTGCATCCTTACCTGGAACTGCCCCCTTTCTTTTCATACCGAGTCCTCCTTCGCTCGGGAAACTGGTGGTCCGACGACCGTCCTTCGCCTTCCGTGCCCGGAAGACCCTCTTCCCGCTGCCAACGCCAAACCAACCCTTTTAATGCCACTTTTCCTTACCTCCCGCCTCCTCCGTGCTTTCCAACAGCATGTCCTTCGTGAAGCTAGATATCTGTCCGGTCAGGGTCGAGAGGCTGCCGCCCACCTGGCCCACCAAGGACTGGCCGAGCCCTGAGCCCAGGCCCCCCAGCCAGGACGCCATCCTTGCGGCCCCTCACTCCACAGGGCCCGCCGGACCCTCAGGACGGACAGAAACTGGACGGGGACGGCACCAAGAGCGGTCTCCGGGCTCTTCCCTCGGTGTCTTCCTCCGCTGAGCAGCCCGGAGGAAAGATACCGGCTGCTGGTCAGCCCTCGGAGGAACAGCCCGGCCTCAGCCCGCTGCGCATTGACTCTGCCGGGCTCTTCAATCAGCGGAAGGGGCTTTTGAGTCGGGCTGCCACCTCAACCTCCGCCATGACACCTCTTGAACCACCATAGAGCTAGAACTGCAGAGCGTCTATACAGGTCCTCAGGGACGTGTCCCAGGGAATGAAGGATGTCGGGATGCCGGAGGCCGGAAGCGTGGAGGAGTCTGTGGAGGACGGAGGAGAAAGAGGTGTTGCTCCTGTTTACCCCGATTCCCTCCGGTAGTTTGAAAAGCCGCGCGACACCGGTGCCGCCCGAGTCCTGTGTACAATGACTCGTAACTCCGGATGTTTCTTGGGACTTTGTTGTATACAGTGCTCTTTTTTATTCACTTGTCTTTCTGAAAAAATAGAAGTATATTGTTGGTTGTTTAGTCGTGTCGGACTCTTTGTGACCCCATGGACCAGAGCACGCCAGGCCCTCCTGTCTTCCCCTGCCTCCCGGAGTTGGGTCAAATTCAGGTTGGTTGCTTCGCAGACACTGTCCAGCCATCTCATCCTCTGTTGTCCCCTTCTCCTCTTGCCGTCACACTTTCCTAACATCAAGGTCTTTTCCAAGGAGTCTTCTCTTCTCATGAGATGGCCAAAGTACTGGAGCCTCAGCTTAGGATCTGTCCTTCCAGTGAGCACTCGGGGTTAATTTCCTTCAAAACGGATAGGTTTGTTCTCTTTGCAGTCCAGGGGATCTCAAGAGTCTCCTCCAGCAGCACAATTCAAAAACATCAATTCTTCGGCAGTCAGCTTTCTTTATGGTCCAGCTCTCACTTCCATACATCACTACAGGAAAAACCATAGCTTTGACTATATGGACCTTTGTTGGCAAGGTGATGTGTCTGCTTTTTAAGATGCTGTCTAGGTTTGTCATTGCTTTCCTCCCAAGAAGCAGGCGTCTTTTAATTTCAGGGCTGCTCTCTCCATCTGCAGTGATCATGGAGCCCAAGAAAGTAAAATCTGTCACTGCCTTCATATCTTCCCCTTCTATTTCCCAGGAGGTGATGGGACCAGTGGCCATCATCATAGTTTTTTTTAATGTTGAGCTTAAGACCACTTTTTGTGCTCTCCTCTTTCACCCTCATTAAGACGTTCTTTAATTCCTCCTCACTTTCTGCCATCAGA